TCAAATAACAATGGCACTCATCACAGAACTAGAACAAACAACTCTAAAATTTATATGGAACCACAAATTTCCTCAAATCGTCAAAGACATCCTGAGTAAAAAGAACAAAACAGGAAACATTACACTACCTGATTTCAAAACTTACTACAAATCTATAAATCAAAATGTTATGGTATTGGCATAAAAATAGACTAATGGAACAGAATGTACCCTAGAAGTAAACCCATGAACATACAGCCAATTGATTTTTAAACAAAAGTGCTAAGAACATGCACTGGAGAAAGGACAGGCTTTTCAATAAATGATATTGGGAAAATTGGGTAAAAAAAAAAATGAAGCTAGACATCTATCATTGGTTAAAAAGATCAAGTCAAAATAGATTAAAGACTTAAACGTAAGACAAAATTATTGAAACTACTAGAAAAGAGGAAATGCTTCAGGACATTGGATCATGAAGACCTTCCAAAGAACAGAAAATAAAAGTTAAAAGAGGCAAATGGGATTACATAAAACTAAAAGACTTCTGCACAGCACTCAAGAGTCCTACAAAGTGGGAGAAAATATTTGCACTGTATACATCTCCCAGACTATATAAGTAAATCCAAAACCTCAATAGCAAGAAACCAAATAGCTCACTTTAAAAATGGGCAATAATCTAAAAACATTTCTCAAAGTTTTATGTACCAATGGGTACATAAAAAAAAAAAAAAAAAGTTCAACATTACCAATCATTAAATAGTTCAAACCAAAACAACACTGAGATATCACCTCACCCTAATATGAAGCCTTAGTATCAAATACTAATTAGTGATGGAGAGGATGTGGAGAAAGATGCCTTGCATAATATTGGTGCAAATGTAAATTAGTATATCCACTATGGAAAACAGTATGAAGTGTCCTCAAAAACAGTAAGCAGAACAACTACCACATGATACAACAATCTCATTGCTGGGTATAAACCCAAAGAGAATAAAATCTGTATGCAGAAGAGACAAATGCACACTTATGTTCATTGCAGCACTATTCACAACAGACAAGAAATGGAAAACAAGTGTCCATCGGTGAAGGAATGGACAAAGAAACACAATGTGTACACAATGGAATACTATTCAGGCAAAACAATGACATCCTGTCATTTAGGACAATATGGATGGAATTGGAAATCAACATGTTAAATAAAAGTACAGAGACATCAAATGAAATCTAAAAAAGGTGATCTCATGGAAGTTGAGAGTAGAATGCCGTTATCAGAGGTTAATCAAATGGGTATTTAGATACAGTTAGATAGGAGCAAGATGCTCTGGGGTAAGACTGCATAGTATTTTGATTATAGAGAACAATGTTTTGTGTATTTCATTTGGTGAGAAAGGATTTTGAAAGTTTTTACTGCAAAGATAATAAATGAGGAGATAAGTATGTTTAACCCGATTTATGCATTTACATCATGCAATGTATTCAAGCATCGAATGTTGCCTGTCCTCAAAGACCACAGGTGTGACCAGGTGTGTACAGTTTCATAATGGTGCCATAATGGCACCATTAATATGTGACTTTTATGTTTTTTATAAGTTTAAAATAATACAAAGTCTGGGAACTTCAGTTAGTAATAGTGTGTCAATACTGGCTAATAAACAACTATAACAAACACATTTCACTACTGCAAGATGATTTCAATAATAGGGGAAACTGCCTGCTTGAGAGGCAGGGAATATATGGAAATTCTGCATCCACTCAATTGCTCTGTAAGGCTGAAAAAATATATTCTATCAATTTAAAAAAGGAAACATTTTAAATGAGTCTGGAACAACTGAACAGCCACAGGAGGAAGAAAATAGATTTCAAGACTTATTTCACACTACATAGAAAGAAAAGCATAAAAAACTGATCACAGAGTTAGCTATCAAAGCTAAAATTACAAAGTTTCCAGAAGTTTTTAAAAGAATATCTTCACAAATTAGAAATGGGTAGGTTTCTTTGATAAGACCCAGAAGCAATAATCACAAAAGTATAAAATGGACCTCATCAAAATTAAGTGCTTCTGTTCATCAAATGGTACCATTAAAATGAATACATAGGCACGTCAACAGAGAACAAAGGTCTGAAAAAAAAATTCTATCAATACTAAAAAGAGCTACAACTCAATAAAAACAGAAAAATCCAGTTAAAAATAGGCAAAGGCATTTTCTCTTCTCACAGTTCCCTTCTCTGGTCTTCCATACTAGGCTCTGCTATCCCAAAATAGCAGTGTCCAAAGCACCCACCAGAATCCCAAAACAAAGAGGGGAGGAACAGAGTTACAACAAGAAAGTTGCTCTATGTGTATAACTGAGGAATAGGAGGTTTCCTATTCTTTGCGATTCTCTATTCTTCCCCAACATCTCATCCCTACAAAAACCTCCAGTACAATGCTGAATAGAAATGGTAAAAGTGAAGGGCTCTTCAAGATGGCCCAACAGAGGTACCTAGCACCCACCTGCTCTTCCAAAAAGGAACCAAAGCAACAGGTGTATAGCTACATATTGAGGTGACTAATTGTGACAGCAGTGGAAATGAATAGAGGAAAAACATACATGGTAAGATCCAGAAACCAATAACAGCACAGTAAGAGAAAAAAGATATCTTGGAACAAGACATCCCTGCTCTATAGCTGGGGAGGGGTTTCTCTGCTCTGGAAAGGTAAAAGTGAAAGAGTCCCAGTATTCTATTAGCAAGGATAAGGGTAATCCTAGTTACTGGAAAATTTCACAACCCTGAGAGGTTTTCAGTTTACTAGATAAAAATGTTGATATATCTACACCGCAGTCTGGCTTTGAGAAAAAAATTCACATCTCCCAGTGAATCCCTAAAGTACAGTAGCTAGAAGTCATCTTGAGAAGGGGCCTATTATCTGAATTTGCAGTGCTCTAGGAGTAAGAAATCCTTGCATAACACCATCTCTGGAACCTCACAGATATTCCACTTATGTGGCTCAGTAGGTAGGTGCTTCATGAGCCAAACCTGGCTTAGTACAGGGACACTGACAAACCTGCTAGGAGTTCTAAACCATAGAGGAATGGGCTGTTGTGACACAACATACAGGGAACAAAGGGTGCAATCATGAAGAACTGGGGTATCAGGGAGCCTGTCCTCAAAGACCACAGGTGTGACCAGGTGTGTACAGTTTCCTAATGGTGCCAGATCTAAAGGTAGTCACCCATGCAGTTCCAAACCCCTGTTTCTGTAGAGCAGTGCCTATAACTAACAAGGTTAGGAAAGAACTCTGGTTCCACTACTCCCCTGCCCAAAGAGGCCTGTTAGAGAAGTCCTGAGCAATGCCTCCATTCCTGTCACTTTGCCCCCAGGATGCATGGCCTAACAAGGTCTGCCTGATGCTGGATGCACTCTATTCCCTTGCAAACACACCAGCTGACAGGTGTTTTGCCCAGCTCTAGTCTGCTTAATCTCTAGCAGGCATATAGTTGAAGGAAATGGGGGATAAAAAGAACCCTGACCTTTTCTCTGTACCTAGGACTGTAAAGCTTGGGGGAAGGGTTAGAAGTTTTGCAAGTGGCTGGGCAAACCCACAGTAGCAGCAGAGAGGAACATCATAACTCCTTGTACCAAAACACCTACATGGATCCTCACCATAGGCTGTCCCTGCACCTTGTCTGCTCACATACTGTAAACAGGACTATGTATGAGTGGCACAGGGGGTGCTGTGATTTCTCTACTTCCCTCTTAAGTATGTGGGCCTGCACCACTGTCTAGTAGGAGGGCAAGTGCTTCAGGCCCTTAACAGTACTGGTGCAGCCAGTGCCAGAGACCCTTATAAGGGTAACAGAGCCATCAAACAGTTCCAGAGGATAGCCAGGCACAGTGGAGCATGCCTGTAACCCCAGCAGCTCGGGAGGCTGAGACAGGATGATAACAAGTTAAAAGCCAGCTTTAGCAATGGCAAGGTGCTATGCAACTCAGGAACATAAGGGTCCTTTCAAGGAGATGGAATATGTGAACTGATCAAAATTCACTGAACTGCCCACTATGATTTGTGCATGTGATTATTATATGTAAATTATACCGAACTACAAATAAAAAATTAAAAACAAATGGTCAACAGTATTTGAAGACTGGATCTTATCTGTATAGAATAAATAAAAGGGATACTTTCACTTTACACTTTCTGTACATTTTAAATGTTACTTCCATATACATGTTCATATTTATGATTATTTACACAAAGCAGATGGAAGCTTAGAATTAACATGTACAAATCTACTGCCAACTTTACAAGTATAAAGTCCGGGGTACGATTTCTAATGTTTTAATTGCTACTAAAAAAAAAAAAATTAAAAAATTCAAAGTCCTTGTGAATTCTGTCATAATGAAATCTAATCTGTATTTTTATTAATAGTACTGATGGTTAGTTAACAATTCTTATCTACTAGATATATAGATTTACGAATATAAATATACATAAACCAACACATATACACAAACAGATCTGATGGTGGAAGAGCAAGTAAAAGGGATAAAAGATACATTTCAATAGATTTTACATCCATTTCTCCATTTCTACCTTCTAGAAAACTGGAAGATCTTCTACACAAAGCCTTCACTTTCTTGGCATGGACTGGCTGCCCTGTCCTGTTATTCATTCATTTTCATTACTTGCCTGACCCCACAGCCATATGAATGTCTGTTTCTTATGAAAGTATACTGCTTGAATCCTTTATAAAAACAAGATATAGGGGTAGAACTGAGGAATTTTAAAGTACTGCTTTTTCCTTCCTCAAGATTATCATAAGGACTTTGCAAAAAAAAAAAAAAATCAACTGGATAGGTCACATACTTTGCACCCATGTGTTTCAAAAGGATGGAGTCTACAAACTTACCTCGATTGAAATGATAGAAAATATTTTACTTTTAAAATACTTTTTATTTATTCGAATTATTAAGTCTCTTTAAAGTTTCCCAAAGTATAAAATTATTTCAAGAAAGCTAAGAAAAAATGATATACATACCATAAGCTTTTGCCCAGGTTCAGGGCTGAAAATAACAAAATCAGCTTCAATGTTAAGATGAATGTGTCCTTGATCATCATATATATCTCCCAGTTCACCCACAACTTTGATGTTATCATATGCAATAGGGACACCTAAAAGACTGTTTAAAAAAGAGAAGAAGATGATACCTTTTATCCTGTTTTTAAACTAGGTCATTATGATACTGTTTAGATAGTCTAAGAATCCAAAAAGTATTCATCTCCCAAATATATAACCCATGTCAAAAATGTAACAATGTATGCTTAGTCTGTAACAACTTTTTAGCAGTTCCACTTCACCAAAAGGTTCCAATGTGCTGGCTAAGTTAAAATGATTAATAATGGAAACTGACAAGAAAAATGTGTATGCATTTTTTATTATTGAGTACAGGTAATATTGATATTGATACTCTCCATCTGCACTTGATGGAATACAAGGAAACCTAAGGGTTAAAGCTGAAGCCCCTGAATACTACAGCCAGTAACTTAATACAAAAAAAAAAAAAAAAAAAAAAAAATCTCAAAACTGCAACTGTTGCTAGTAAAAGGAAATTTTAAGACATACAACTACATCATTTATTAAGAATTGACTTTTGACACTCTGCACATTTTAGAATCCGGATTAGTTGGCAACTATTATTTCAAAATATCATTTCTAACCTACGAAGGATAAAAACCTGGCAGCTTTTAACCATACCCACTACTTGGAGGAAACTTCCCTAACTTTCCAAGGCAAACCTGAAATCATTCTTCTATTCCATGTACAAATTTATCACTGTTCTAATTTTATTGAATCTATCTGTACATGTTTGGATTTCACACACACAAGCCATAGACAGCAGAAAGCTATTTTTTTTTTTTTGGGTGGGAGACAAATTCCAGCATGATTCACATAGAATAAGAGAAAAGAATTTATCCCTAATAGATTTTATTTTAGTAAAATAGCCACAACTCCCAAGAAAGGAACTATAGTAACTACCAAGTTAGCAAAATCAAACTTAGAGATTTCCTCAGGAATGCTCTTTTTAGTTATTACTTTATGTATGTATCTTTCCTCAGAAGGAACCAACTATTATCAACTCAGACTATCTTACAGACACTGAAAATAGCAGGAAGGAAAGAAAAATTGCCAAAACTGACAGGGGAAAAAAAAAAAATTAGAACCTTGTTTCCTTTAATCAAAGCCTCCTCTCTCTACTATAGAATGATGTTCAAGTGGAGACAGTACTGCTGTTCCCTAAAAGGAACTTGGGAATTTCTGGTACTATTCATGTTTGTTACAAACACTGGAAAAAAAAAAAAAAAAAAGAGGGCAGGGAGAAAGTCTGTTATGCACATGGCAGCCCTATACAATGATTAAATATCCTTAGCTCTGCATTACTTTTGAGTAAAGAGATGAACTTGTTTATAAATAGCTGGGCACATAATCTAACTTTAAAAATAAATGTATCAACATCTTTGCATGGTTTCAATATATGTTAAATTTCTAGGAATGGAATAATAAACAAATGGTATTTCCCTCATTCCCAATCAGGTAAAGAAGAGAATCGCGGGAAAGCACCAAATCCAAAACAAACAAAAACTGACCATCGTGTTTTACAGAGAAACTGTTGTTTGTACAAACGTTTATGTGATCTTACATGGAAAGAGAGAGAATCTACTCAAGTACTAATACGAACTGTTCATTGTCAAATGAGAAAACATTACCCCCGGAGGTGGGAAATGAAACGTTCAACGTCAAAGAAAACTCCGTATACTGGGTCTCCAGACACCTGGAGCAGTTCCACTCATCTCCACTCCCTCGGTTGACAGTTCACCTGTAAGTTTTCTTTACTGCTCACGAAAGGACCTGGCAGAGATCCCGACCTGGTCGGTAGAGGCCTCGCTGGGCGGACCACAACTCTAGAACACCTCCGGACTACGCTCCGGTTGGGATGGCCGGTGAGACCTTTCCCACTTCTCCCCCTTTCGGTAGCAGGCCCTCCCCACGCCCAAAAGAAGAGGCTGACATCTACGTTACGGCGTTGCTAGCTGGGAGAAGGACAAGACACACAGACTCGTACCTCTCGGAATAGCGCAGGAGCTCCCCATCCAGCTGCTCTCGGATACCGGTGCGTTTCCGGTTAAGGTAGCGGGGCGACAGGGCGATGTGCCGTCGGTGCGGCGCGGCCACCAGACAGGAGTAGCGGCTGTTCACCAGAGCACAAGCAGCTGCATAGGTGGGCAGCTCTAAGCAAGGCAGGACGCCGACTGTTCCTACCACCGGCGCCTCGGAGGCCGCCTTCGGCCGCGGAGACTCTGAGCAACCAGCAGCCATGCGGCAGGTTAGGTCTCTCCCGGCGCGCACCACTGACGCTAGCACAACCGCCTTTCCTCCGACTCCGGGTTTCTGCGTCATCCACCAGCGACCACGCCCCTACAACTTTTATCTCGGTTCGCTGCACTATGCAGGTCTGACCAGCAGGGGGAAACCTTTTTTGTTTTTCCCAAATCCTCTCACTTGGAGGACGAAGCCTGGAGCCTGTGGTTGTCTGAATACAGCATGTGTCAAGAATTTTCCCTAAGGCAGGCAAACGTGTTTCCACAAACTCCTCGATGGATTTAGTATATAGGTTAATGGGACTGCCCACTTTGATCATTTTCAGTAGTAACATGTTTGGGTAGAATGTTTCAAGCTTGAACTATTCAATATCAAAAAATATAATGGAGTAGATTTTATGCAGTGAACCCAGTCTTACACAGCAGCTCTCAGGCCTCAAACGCAGTATCTGAACAAGAACTCACGTTCTCTCTCCAATCCAACTTTACCTCTCATTCAGCAAATCACTTAATCAGAAAATCCTCCCACTTTTCCAGGTCTCCAAGCCCAGCTATGATCTATGATTTTTGTGCCCGCACATCAAATCAGCCCAAAGTAAAAACCACAGCTGTATTTTTACAGCTCTGTGTTCACGCTGTCAAAACTACAAAACTCCTTTCTTGCCTATGGAAGGTCAACTTGATGATCAAAAGCATACCCAGAAACAGCCTGGTCTGTGAAACAACTATGGTGATGATGTGTCCTTTTTAAAGCCCTAGGTAGGCTCCTGGTTTTCCCTAAGCTAATGAAGACTTCCTTAATAGAGCTAATAAATTACTAGGCCATTTTATTATTTGTCCCTAGCTGCTTTCCTCACCATCATTCATTGCTCTCCCTATGTTAACAATATCTGCTTGCCATCCCTGCTTATTGAGCCACTTTCATCTCTCTCCCTCTCCCCATGCCCTCCCTCCTTCCATTCTTCAGCCATTTCTTCCACCAAGTAGTTTCTCTCACGTGGGTAAATTCTGTTTCTGTCAATTTTTAGTTTGGATTTTACATTCTCTTCCTCTGCAAATAGTTCTCTACCTCCTTATCTCCCTCTTTTCTCCTTAAGGATTAAGTAGTTCCCCATCTGTTTGTCACCACCACCACCATGAGCTTGTTTTTATTTTGAATTTGTTATAACTAGCTACTTGCCTGATGCATCACTAGATTCCTGTTTCACTGGGGGAAACACCATGAGGTTAGTCTTGTTCTCCAGAGAAGCCCCCCAAAACCAACCCTTCCTTCACCCCAAAAATAACCAATGCATCCTAAATGAGTAATGTATGAATGAATTAATAAATTATATAACTACTGATAAAGGGTTCAGAGCCCAAATGAAAATGGGATTGTTGGGGCAGGCCCCAAATGGCTGTAGATAGACTCCCTCAAAGAAACTTCTGTGGGCTATGTTATTGTTAATGTGTAGCCAGGGCTGAAAATCAAATATGTTATGGTTAGTCAAGGCCAGAAACAGTGTGATTCAGTGCATATACTCAAGGTCATAAACATTAATTTGTGAGCATACGCCCCCTTATGTAACCTGTTGGTAGTGTGTCTTATTTGTTTGGCCTCCATATAAAAAGGGTCTATGAAAAAGACTCAGGTGCTGATGGGGGCAAAATGAGAGCTAAAATGGAACTGGCTGGGGGGTTAAGCTGAAACTGGAGGCTGGAGGCTGTTACCACCTCTGAATAAAGCATGTCTACTATCCTAACTGAGTCTTGCATCTTCTTCCACTTGCTGACTGCAAATCTGTTTCCTGGGTCAGAACCCCTGCATGACAGGGATTAAACAAACATTTAGCATAGGTTATAGTTTATAAGTTCCAAGAGAAAAGTACAGCAAGGAGTGGTTTGAATGCATCCCCCAATACTGCAAAATCCTTAAAACCCTGTTGTTTCACTTGCTGAATAGGGATAATAATGTGTATCCTGCCTACCTTTGAGAATTGATAGTAGGTTCAAATAAGAGAAATACAAAAAAATGATTTTCTTTTATTCTTCTTTAACTTAGTACAAATTCAACATGGAATGAAATTTCTCTCAACATCCAGCAACCTTTACCTTCTATTAAAAAGTTCTGTAACACCTTTGTACAGGACCCTTTTGTTCAGTGTTCTCAATTTTGGCTGAACATTGAAATCACCAAATGTTTAAAAACTCCTAATGCTGAAGAGGCATCTGTGAGGATGGCCTTAGGCCTGAGTCTAAGCAACTCCAGTTTTAAAAACTCCAGTTTGAAACCTGCAGTCTCACCAAGCATGCCTAACAGAGCCCTCCAGTATGACTCTCAGGCACAAACTAGTCACTTCTCCCCACTCTGATAAACTCAGAGTGAAGCTTCTAACAGGCTGTCCTCACCCAATAAGAGGAAAAGGTGAAAAGATCAGGGTGAGGACCACCAGACCAGATGTTTTAACCCCAGGGTAAATGACATAACTGAGAAATCCCGGCAACTGATAAGGATTAAAAGAGGAGTCAAAAGCCCCCAACCCCCAAATTTAGTATAAATAATAGAGCAAATGAGCATACATTCAGCCAGCCATTACTGATGCCCTCGCGCTGAGAGCCTGATGAGGACCTGGACTGTAATGCCAGATTCGTGGGACCCCAATAGGAGCCACGAATGAGATTCCTCTCCAGGAGCCGAATCTGATGCAATCACACAAGAGTCTTTATTGCAAGCTCTAGCCTGGACTCACAACCCTTTCAGATGCAGCGGTCCCAGGGAGTGAATCCTGGTCCTTTGTTCAGTGAGATTTTATAGTTTTGGGGGGATACTCTATGCATCACAACATCACACAGCAAATCATTCCATACCTCCGCCGGAAAGTCAAACAACTCAACGTTGATTAGCAAATTCACTGGTGGGAACAAGTTGGGTAGGGGTGATTGGTTAGTACAAGAGGGGGATTCCTTTGAACTGATAGCTTTAGGCTGTGAGGGGTGTAGTGCTAAACTACATGGTTTCCCAACATGTTATCAACCAACTTAAATTACTGAGGGGTCATCTGGCATCCCAGGTATTTCCTATCTCATGCTGATTGGTGGTTGCTAGGGGGTCCCTATGGGTCCTCACCTAGTCTAACTAAGTCAGGGACACCTTGTGTCACAGATCTCTCTTGTTATTTGCAAACAAACAACTCAGCAGGGTAGGTATGTGCCTAGGAGTGCTCTGTGGGTTTTTCCAAGGACAAGGGTCACACCCCTTTCCTTGGACAGGCTTTGCTCTGAGGTAGAGGCTGGTTTCTCAAAAATGGAGTCACATCAGTTTCTCAATACTTTGCATCTTTTGCTGATCCTCTGCATCTTCCTCACCGTTCTCAAACTCTACAGCCACATCTTAACCCTAGTGAGAGCCATAACTTCTCCCTACAACCCTCTCCTCCACTGGCTGTCAGCTCCACCCCAGGAGAAGCATGCCTTAGTTCTGACCTCATCACTGCAGTCTGAGTGAGTGTGCATCTACTGGACTTAAAGCCTAAGGCTTGAAACTTTTGAACTGACACTTGAACTTAGCATGCAGAGGGAATGTCTGTCATTAGCCTGTCATGATTAAATGTGTTTGCAGTGCTTAGAATTAATCTAGAATTGTTTGCTGTGAATTATGTCTATTGCAGGCCTAGCATTAAGGATTGACATTTTCTTGATTAAGAACCTATAGAGTGAAATTGTATTATTGAGTGATTTGAATGAATAAAGCATTGAAAAGGGCAGAAGCGCTTACACATTCTTCGTTTCTCCCCCTGGACTGCATAAGTCGCACCTTTGGCCCATTACAACAGCATCCTAGGTCATTTAAATAAAACTTCTCCAAGTAATTGATTATAGTTTGCCATTAACATGCATCTGGATTGTCTGCAGTTATTTTTAAACTAAAAACGATTTGTCCAAAAAGTGAAAATTTTTTTAGTAAAAAAGAATCTGAACAATTCAGCCAAATATCTACACACTTTACCTGAAATCAAGTATTCTAGCTATGATTTTGAACAATATTAAATGTGGTGCATCATGGAACAGTTTTGAAACCCTTTATGTATCCATAATTATTTCTTTAACTCTGAAAATTATTAGAATGGAATTTTATGAAGAAATGGAATTGGACAGGATTTCCTTAAGCTATGTGTAACACTTTACATAAAAGGGTTTCGTATAAAGGGTATCCCAAAGATACCATTGACTTTTGCTTCATAATAAACTGTTTCTCAATTTAGTGGCTTTATACAACAGTCACAAGTATTAATTTATCTCTTAGATATGGGCTGGGTTCAGTTGGGCTCACTAATGGCACCTGTGGGCAGATATGACTTCATGTGACCACCAGACTAGAACAGCTTGCTTTCCTGTAACGCTGTGAAGGTTTGCAAGGATGGGGCATGACTTCAGGTATGCATTAGAAGTCCTACATCAGGTATGCATTACAAGTCCCTAAATATGTCTGCCCATAAAGAGCCAAACCAGTCGAGACAGGAAGGTTGTCATCACTGCTTTAGGCTGATTTTATCAAGTTGGTTGAATGAGTAATAATCATTTTGTTTACTAGCATTCCCTTCCTGCAACAAAATACCTGAGATAATCAATGTAGAAGGAGGAAAGATTTATTTGGCTTAATAGTTTTAGGGTTTTTAGTCCGTGGTCAGTTGGCTCCCTTGGTTAGGTCCTGTGGTTAGGCAGAACATCGCAGTGGGGAGCCTGTGGTGAAACAACTGCTCACCTCAGGGCAGCTGAGAAATAGAGAAAGAAAGGGGCAGGGGCCAACATCTGCTTCAAGAGAAGACCTCCAATGACCTAATTTCCCTACCTTGTAAAGGCTCTGATAGCACCAGTTACCAGTGAGGAATCCTGCTCCCTCCCATGTTGAAATACAACATTAGAGAAGCACGCTGAGGCAAGCATGTAAAGTAGGGTTTATTTAAAAAGGGGTAACATAGACTTCTCCTGGGAGGGAGAAGGGGGCCTTAGCTAGTATCCTGGTATTCCAAGAAACGAGGTGTTC